CACTCTGAGACTGGGAATTTCTCATCAATTTGTTGTAGGCTACTTCTGAGATTTAAACTACGATCAATAAACTGATGTGCACGGATTTTACCTAACTCAACCCTGCTTCTTACACTGAGTCTTTGTATCTAACCTGATATCGCCATTTGACATAATAAAACCCGACCTTATGAATTTTCCCTGAAACTCACATTTCTGCTTCCAAATTTTAGTTGTGAGTGTGCAGGTAATTCACATCCATCGCCCCATCAGCAAGTGGAAGAGCTGGGCAAAAAGTATCCTTACATCTCCTTGAAAGCATCAGAGAGCCAAGCCAAGATGAAGAATGCATCACCGAGATCCAGACAGAACGCTCGCTGTGGTTACAGTTTCACAAGTGCGCCATAGTTTTCCAAGTGTGTCAACCCTTACCAAGCACACACTTTAACATCTACAGTGCCTGTGGTCCAGTTGCCCCCGCGAAAGGTGTTCAAAAGCTTGGAAATGTCCACTAGGTGACATGAGCTAACGGGACCGTGGCCCCTGAAGCTGTGGGTGCACGGCCCTGGGCAAACTCCTCCTAGAGCCACGGCTTCCACCGTCACTAGTGCCGACTCACCAGTGATTCCTGCACACAGCCCCCACTGTGCTCACTCCACGCTGTTCCAATGAGCAGCTGCCTTTGTTTTTGAAAGCATCATTAAAGATACTGATGGGGAACTGGGTCAGTTCACAAACCACACTGTGAAAAGTGAGAACGAGACCACTTCCGTGAACAGATCTTGACTGACTATGCCAAGAGGCGCTCTCTTCAATCTTGCTCTGCAGACAAAAGCCCAACACAGGAGGGCTGTGTACGGTATTTTCCTCTGGCAGTTTTCTCATTATTGCCTGCCACAAAAACACCAAGCACCTGTCGTTTAATTTGTAACAGTCTCTGACACCCTGGACTGGAAGAATAGGTGAGCAAAATGATTTCATTGCTTTTCCTGTCAGTCTTTGTTGTCATTAATTCCTTATATTCTGGAGGCCAAGAATGTCTCCCATCTTCCCAAGAAACCTTAACATGTACAGGAGCAATGCCAGGCAAGTGTGGGGATGCAATGAGAAGGAAAACTTAGCTGCACCCAGCCTTCCGAAGCTTCTCTGCGTCTATCTCACCACCCTTATTGGAGCCCACTTGCATGTCACGACTTCTCCAGGACCGGCTTCCACACTCACTGTTCTCCTACCAGTCTGAACCAAGCCACATGACCTGGACCTCTGTTCCATTTGAAAATGATTCCAACATTTCTTCTTCGTTAGTTTTTACAATAAATCGCAACTCTTACTTTCACCACCGGTCATGGAGGTGCCCTAATTACATTCCATCCCCACTGCGCACCTCCACGTCTGTCCCTCCCCAAGCACCCATTACAACTCCATCGCAACACCTCTTAAGGGCGTCTTCACTGTTTTCTTGCTAGATGAGGGCTACCTTCGGGCCCGTATACTTAAGTACTTATAATGGTAGCCTCCCAAGCACCCATTACAACTCCATCGCAACACCTCTTAAGGGCGTCTTCACTATTTTCTTGCTAGATGAGGGCTACCTTCGGGCCCGTATACTTAAGTACTTATAATGGTAGCCTCTTGTGGCTCACGCTTCTAGGTGGCCATGTGTGTACATTAATCAATCGTTTCCACCTGGTGCACCGCAAGGGTAGCTGCATCTCATCTTCCTCTTCTGCAAGGGACAGTACTGGAGTGGCCTCCACGGTGCCGGCAACTCTCTACACTTGTTTTATGTTACTTTGGCTTCAGCCAAGCAGTGGGCAGCCTGTGAACTGGTGTCCTGTGTTCCTCCCCTACTGCTGTGGATTTCCTGTTCTGGATTATGTGTGGTTTCTGCTGCAAGAGGCTAAGTATTAGTGTGAAACAATGCATCCTAGCAGAAAGGAGTTGTCGGTGCAGTTTTTCTAAGCTGAATTTAGTCCTAAATTTACCTCTTCCTAGGGACGTTGTGAAGTTGTGCTTAATTGCTCTGGGAATCTCTTGCTTCATCTACAAAGGCAGATAGTACCACCTACCCTAGTTGCTGCTATGAGGACTACAGGAGTTAAATGATACTAAGCAGCCCAGGCCAGCCAAGGCCATAAGGCAGGTGCGGAATAAATGGTGACTCTCAGATTCCCACTACCTGCTTCATGTTACAGTCATTGAAAGCAGTGCACACTGCTGAGTATCTGGAGGTTGGGTCATCCCAGTGCTCCATTAGAACTGCTCCTAACCCAGTGTTCTGTGTTGAATGAAACTCCGTGATGTTGTTCACCTCCCCATCCTAATCAACCTACATTGGTCATGTGTTGTGTATGAGTGTTTCTGTTTCCTCAAAACTGATATTGAAATAACCCTCAAGCAATAGTTGTAAATGTCATGGCCTTGAGCGGGGTATGGTGGCACGTGCCTAAAATCCTAGGACTTCTGAGGCTGAGGCAGGAGAATCACTTTTCACTCTAGGCTGACCTGGGCCACACAGTGAGTTCAAAGGCAGCCTGAACTATACAGTGAGTCCCTGTCCCCAAAATAAGCATGGCCTTCAGCAGGTGATTGACTCATGAATAGGACCTGGTGCCCTTAAGAAAGGGGTGTTTAACCTGCACTCGCACCCTGTATGGACCCAATGTGGAGGACACAGCAAGAAGGTGCATCTCAGAAGCAGATCAGACCTCACCAGACACCTATTCTGCTGTGGCCTGGATCTCAGACTTCCCAGCTTTTGGGACTGAGAGGAAAAAATGTTCTACTCTTTATAAATTATCTGGGCTGTAATATTTTGGCATAGAAGCACAATAGACTACAATAGATGTTTAAAACAAGAGTATGATTCAATGGCTAGACACCTGTTAACCTATACTTTGCAATTATTTTTTTCAAAAATATAGCATTATTAATAACTTTATGTAACATTCATGGCGATCTTTATTATTCATTACATGTTGGAAGTAAAGTTGCATCAAAAAATATAAGCAGATTGTTATGGTTCTGTTATGATTTTCTCCCTCAAGTAGCTTGGAAACTGCAGTGTTCCATTTAATCATGCTTTTTCTTGAAGAAGTTAAAATAAGAGGAGTCTGCATCCTGTAAAAGTGACAGGAACATGAATCAGTCTTTACTGTGGACCCAAGTTTTTGATAAGACCTGCTTTTATAATCTGTAAATATCTAAGTATTTGGTATTTTTTGCTTTTGCCTACTAATTCATTTTCATTTTCCTGCAAGAAGTTGGAAGAAATTAAATGTCTAACAGGTGGATTACCCATTACAGTGGATTTCCTCAACAGTAGTAGATTGTCCAATGAGGACATAACATGGTTCTTTCATGATTTTCCTTTTCATATACATTGATGGGTTATAAGACATGGTAGTAACAAAGTGTAGGAAAGATATGTTTACTAATAAAATCCATTCAAAGCAATAGCCTTTCTTTGAGTAATCCTTCTTTACATTTTGGGGATTAACTATTACACTTGCTTTGTTGTATAGATTGAACTCTGCAGGCACAGTTCTTTTAGAAACAGCTGATTAACGTTGCTCACTAATGGATTTACACTGAAAGCCGGTGGAGAAGTGGTCAGCCTTTGCCCTCAGAGTTGGCCCCAGGCACCTCCATGATTTGTAGAGTAGCTGAGGAAGGAGGTAAGGGCACTAGTAGCACCCCAAGTGCTTGTGTCCATCAGAACTCAACAGGCAATGTTAAGGCGAAGCACACACAGACCGAGGCGCCCCCAGTTCCGGGGGAAGTGGGAGGGAAGGCGGGTATCACTCACAGCGGTGACAGCTGAATTGAGCCTGCTGGGATGGGCAGGAGTCGGAAGGAGAAGCAATGGGGAAAGGCCACTGTGGCGACACATACATCGGTCAGAGATTAAGTGGGAGAGAATCAGTGTCAATCTTTCGACTGCAAAGTGATTTCTCCAAGACCAGTGATCATTTACAGTAACACATCAGATACCTATGGGAATAGAACACTTTGCATACTTTTTCTTTTTATATCGTGAGATTGGGGGACAATTAGCAAGAAAGTGTTCTAAGAAGATGAAGATTTTATACTTTAAGATTGATACGTATTACTAAGAAATATATAAATTGCTCTTACCACACCACTCTTATGGTTTTCAATTCTCTTCTTTCCTAACTTGTTGCTTAGCCACCGGGCCCAGGTTGGCATATATTGCCACAAATATGTTACCAGCAGAAATGGTTGCTCTGCAATCCAAACCTCTTTCAAATCATTGGCCATGGTGATTAACATCAGCCGCACACAACGACTCGTTGCCATCTTGTAGGACTGGCCTCTGACACTGCCCACAACCTAAGAAAAGATTAAAATGAAGTGAGTATCCAAGCTAGCTCCCAGAACTTTTACATTAGAAAATCCATGCAGTTGTGGGGCCTCACGCCCCAAAGACATCTGTATATGCACCAATGGGTGTTGATAAATTTTTATAATATTTCAAGATGCCTAACAAGAATCATACAAATACCAGAAAACATAGTATGGATTACTAAAAGAAGTTTCTTTCTTTAAATTACAACTGCATCACTAAGGAGGACTTAATGCACATTTGAGCAAATGAAATCCCAAACACATGAAGACAAGGGGATGAAACGGCTGGAGACAAAAGGATTTCCTTAACAGTGAGAAAACCATTACATAACAGGGGTCACATAATGAGTGGGGTCTTAGCATCCTCATTAACCTTATTAAAATTCAGTGTGAAACACTACCAGCTAAGTTTAAGAAATTTCACAATGCCACACAATAAGCATTATCAGTACATCATAAACAGTTCTGTCCTAAAATCCCTGATACACACTGATAAAACACCAATATAAGGAGTAAATCATTTCAATGAGGCTGCAACCGGAAATTGTTACCTTTGTGACATCGTCAGCCAGGGCATTTTCCACCACACGTGACTGCACAGGTCCAGGGCAAACGGTAGAAACTACTATTCCCGGGTATTCTGTAAGTTCAGTTCGGAGGCTATTAAAAAACCCCTAACAGGGCACAAAACAGAAAAGTCAAAAGAGAAAAGCAAAGAAAAGGGGGAAATAAAACTGATATATCTCTGGGTTATCAAATAGACTCTAAAAGGCCTGAGCAAAGGCCAGGTAGTGAAACCATCCACGCTCGGTAGGCATTTTTAACTGGACTCTGGGGCAAATGGGAGCGCACACTCAGGGCCCTTCCAGACACATTCCCTTGGCAGTGGTTCTGGCCAGCAGGGACTTGCATTTTATTGTTGGGAAGCACGGGACAGGTTCAAAGCTGTCCCCCAAGGTTCTGCTACCCACCATGAGGATGTGTTCCCCAGGATTGCTGAGGGGTTCTGTTTATTCCCCCAAGCGATCTAAAGCACCAGTGTTTGGGGCAAAGAGAAAAAAGTAGGATTAGAACTTCATAAATTCTATCCCAGAGAACATTTTCACCATATAAAATCCATTTTGCTACTGTACCAGGATGAATTTCATTCAGAAAACTTTAGTCATTGGGGTGATGACTAGAACCAGCTCATTAAAAGGAAAGAAGACTGATGATCGATGATATTTGTAACAAGTCAGCCCAGCTAGGCTGAGAAACTAACCATGTCTACAGCAACTGACAGTAACAAAAATCTTATTTCCCTTACGTATCCTGTTGTTATATTAAGAAATGTTGCACGGCTGGGTTAACTACTGAAAAATATCTAAACGGCTAACCTGTGGTGCACTTGATATATGACCTGACTACCTGCACATTTGCCAGCCACCCACAGGCTGACCGGACTCACACAGGAGCTATGAGGTTCATGTGTCAGAACCCGACACAGTTCCCGATTTATGAGGGCACTGAACAAAATGCTGGGTAAAAGAACGGAGAACTCTTGTACCTTTAACATTCTGCCCTTCTGTAGCAAAACAGAGAGCACAGCCCCTAAGCCAATACATCATACACCACAGCCCCTCCTTGCTGAAACTCTTCCACTACAGTTTGCAAAGTTCTCAGTGATAAACAAGTTCGCACTGTACCTTGCTGAAAATCTGAAAAGGAAACATGTTCTTCAAACAGAGCCTCTGGGTCTCAGTGCTGAACTACAACAATAAGTAACTACGGCCTCAACCTGCCACATTCCAGCAGATCAAACCCAGGAATTACACAGCGTGTCCAGGAGGGCAGGCCAGGCGCTCCCTGCTCTGCCTGCCTGAGCTTTGCCCCGTGCTCCCCTGGAGTCACTGACTGTCCATTCATCCCTCAGTACCCTCAGGAAATCCTCAGGGTTGCGGCTGCTTCAGCCTTCTCTGCAACTGCCTTGTCTTTGCAGCACAAAGAGCATTTCTTCAAGACACTGTGCAATGTGTGGCTCCTTTAATCTTTCTCCACTATCTCGTCTTAAACCAAGGTTAAAAATTCACCCAATTCAAACCTTATTATCTCATAAACTATACGACCCAAATCAAACTTCACTCCTAGTCTCTGCCTTAAATAGATTTTCCTCTTTCAGTGAAAGCACAGAGAACAGAGCTGATATTGTCCCAGGAAGGATATGAGGCCCAGTCCAGGAGCCAGTACCAAACAGTGGCAGACATGTATAATTAGACCAGGAAAAAGAAACAGCAAGGACAAAGGGGAACACAAAGAAGTATCAAAACTGGAGAGGAAAAAGTGTCTGGAAGGTGTGCAGAAGTAAGGAGTACAGGAAACTCCTGCTCACCAGGAAGATACAGAAGGTGGAGGGATGGGTGTAGGGTGGTTCCTACGACATCTCAGCAGCATCAGGTGATACAGAAACTTTGCCCATTGATGGCTCTGCCCCTACACACATCTGGATCAATCCTACAGTTGAATTCAAGGTGCCTTACCCGAAGAGCATATTTGCTGGCGCAATATCCACTGGAAAGAGGCACCGATACAATGCCTGCCATGCTATTCACCGTCACAATCTTTCCTTGCTTCCTTTCGATCATGTGAGGTAGAACACACTTTGTTAAGGACACTGTCCCTAAGTAGTTAAGTTCTATTAGCTCCTTGTAGACATCCAGGTTGGCATCGATGACCAAGGAACGTTGGGATCTTCCTCCATTGTTGACCAGAATATCAATCTATTTAAATAAAACCAGAAACTTGGTGTTTGGGGATGTCCTCTGTGGATGGATGGAATTCCTAGAGATGGCTGCTTATGTTGCTAACATCAATGATCGAAATGAGGGCTGAGGTTTTAGCTCAGTGGTTCTGTGCCTGCCTGGAAAGCACAGGGCCCTCGATAAAATCAGTAAAAAAAAAAAAATCAGTAAAACAATACTTTGTTTCTAGAAATATGAAAGAAAAATATAAAACAACCACAATTCTCATTTTAATTGTGTACGAAAAGTTACAAATGTCATTAAGAAAAAAGGGGCAGCAGGAACTTTTTACTTTCTTTTGTCTGTGTGAAGAAATCGGTAGTACTTGTTACATCTGTAAAGTACTAATTACATAAAGTTAAAGACTCAGATGTGAAGAGGCTGAACCTACAGGCCTGAGAACTCTGCATGAACTCCCATTTCCTGAAATCTCTGAATGAGAACAACACTCATTGCAATGTACTGTGCAGCTATTTCAGAACCCAAAGCAAATCAACTAATGTTCCACTGTTGTCTAACCCTACTTACTCTACCAAACTCCTGGAGGACCGCCTTGGTAGCCACCTCATGGGAACTCCTGTCGGTCAGGTCCAGGGGCAGAACGAGGATATCCTTTTCTTTTATGATGCCGTTCTCTAAAGAAAGACACTTAAAAATTACTGTGAATATCATGCCATGGTTCAGTGACGCTCCTGGTTTCTCTCGTTAAGTTTAACCCGCACCCTCCACCAGCAGTTGTCAACAAAGTCGCCTGTGAGTGTCCTTTGATAGTTTCTCTCAGTGAACAACAGGAGGACTAGTGGGCTTGACAGTCAACACAAAGTTGGTGGCTTCACAGGAAGTAAAATGGCTCATTTCAGCTCCAAGAGAGACAGTGGGACATTAGAAGAGACTCAAAGAGATCAGACTATAGTATAAGCTAAATGAAGTAAGACTTGTACAGCAATTTCTGAAGCACTCCCGTTACATGTGCTTTCCAATAGGCTCACAGAGGTTAGTTGCTGTTTCCCACACATTGAAACCTGCACAACATGGGCTGAGACGCAGCTTAGCCGTAGAGCACTTGCCTACCATGCATGCAGCCCCGGGTTTAATCCCCCAGTACTGCCAAAAGGAGAAACAAAAACAAAAATCATAATTTATTCTTTTAATCAGTAGGAAGATCAGAGTACTACAGTCAAAGGACACATACTCAATCTTCTGTTCATCAGCCAGGGGCTCCAGGAGGTAAAGTAAGAAAAAGAACATAGTCTCTTCCACAATTTGCACCTATAAACACCGTGTTGGTCTGTACTTGGCCCTTTCTATATCTAGTTTTCAAAAAAAAAAATCATCAAAACTTATTTCCTCAAACTCTGATCATAAAACACAACAAGTAATCAGAAAAACAAGCAGAAATAGTAAATATGAAACACAATTCCATTAGGGTAAATGAGAAAACAGTGAATCGCCATGTGTGCTAGTAAAAGAAATGGCAAGGCTTGCACCGCTGCTGGGACAGAGACAGGAAAGCAATCGTGCTCCCACCCACGAAGGAAGCCTGACGAGCTTGTCTTTTCCGCCAAAGCAGGACTTGCCAGTCACAGCAGCGGAGCAATGTCTGCCGTTAGGAGCCGTGCAGTACAAACGCACAAGACACCTTTGAAGACAATGTCATGAAAGCATTACGTCTTGCTGAGGTTGAAGGGCAATGAACTCTCTTTACTGAGTGGTTAGTTCAATCAGCAAAATACAAGGAAATTTTACGAAGAATGAAAAGTAAAAGGGACCAATAACCGTGACGTGCTAGAAGCTGCAAAGTTATGTCAGTTTCGGTGCTGTATGGTTTCCAAGGCCTCATGAGCTCATAGGCAGGTCTTTTGGAAGGCTCCGAATTACAGAAATGCTGGAGCTGACTTGCTGTTTGGTGCGGGAGGAAGTGTGCTCTGGAAGGTTTATCTCTCTCCCTGGCTCCTCACTTTGTCCCCCTTTCCTGTCCACCAGGACACAAGCAGATTCCCTCCACCCAGGGGCTCCCACCATGCTGTGGCCATGCAAGGCCTGAGACCTCTGTGAGCCATAATGAGATGCCCGGGAGTCTTCGGGGTGCAGAGGTGGAATGTTACGGTGTGGATCAAGAATGTCCAGCAAAGGCCCCACGTGTCCATACTCAGGTTTAGAGGCCTTTGGAGTGTAACGCATAGTGGTAGGATTATTGCTGAGGCGGTGGTAGGAGGTGGGGTCTGATCAGAGGAGGAGGCTCACCACAGGGGGGGGTGATCCGGAAGGTACAGCTCCCGTCTTCCCCTTCAGTCTTTACTACTGGCCCCAAGATGGAAGCAGCTTTCCTCCACCCAGGGCCTCCCACCACACTGCCGACATTGCAAGGACTCAGACTTCTGAAACTGAGGTGAAATAAACCTTTTCTTCCTTTTTCTGTGTGTGTTGGATACTTTGATACTGGCAACATATCATAACTTTTTTATCTGAGCTTAGTTGCTATTTTGAGACAGGGTCTTGTGAAGTTGCTAAATTGCCCATGCTGGGATCGAACTTGTGGTCCTCCAGGCTTAGGCTCCCCAGAGTACTGGGATTACGAGCCTCTGCTGCCACGTGTAGTTCCTCAGATTGGATTTTACAACCACATTTCACTCCCTTTGATCCTATATGAAAAGTTCTCACACCATCCAGTTCTGGCTTGTTCCTGGATATGTCCCCAAACCTCATGCAGATTTCGATGGGGCTTTTTCAGAGGGGGCTGAATCCAGAGTGTGCGACGGTGGGATGAAGAGTGTGCGCTTCCTGCATCAGCCGACTGCCTGATCAGTTTGTCATCCTCCGAATTCCAGTAGCCTAGACAGAAGGCCCTTAAAGTCTTTCCCTAAAGACAAAAGCTACCTGGTCACTAGAAATCCGACAGTATTTCAGAGCATTGGTAGTTAAGAGTCAGTACAGAAACAGCTTAGAAAGATGCCAGAAACCAAAAGGGAGAAGCCGAGGGCAGGGGCTCAAGGAAAAGGAGAGCATCTAGGCCAAGGCAGGTGGAGTGTTACACACAGGTGCGCTAACTTCAGAATTCCCTCTCAGATTCCCAGAGCCGCACCTGAGTTGGGATTGATTCATTTTCCAGAACCAGGGCTGTGGCTGCAGGTTACTCACCCAGGCATCTTCTCTTCACTCTCTCCAGCTCCTGCTCTCTTCTGGCTGACAGCACCAGAGAGACTCTCTGTTTGGACAGCTGGTAAACCAGCTCCTCACCGATCCCACTGGAGGCCCCCGTCACCCACACCACCGTGTCAGTCAGCTCCTGTTCTGTGCAGGAAGAGGGGTGGGGGGCATGTGATGGATGACGCCCATCCGTCAGTCCAACATTAGCACACACAACGTTAAACACCACCAGGGGTCTGAAACCCAATATTCACAATCGATATTTTGAATATCCCAGGAAAAAATGTCCACCTTATTTTAAGAATAGGAATACAAACCCTGTTAGCAATAATTTCCATGGAATAGTTTGTGCGTTTCAGAACCTTGATGCAATTTCGTTTACTTCAAGCAAAGCCTGCTCTGTTACGATGCAATCGGCCCAGTCTTCTCAGCTCTTTCCCTCCAAGGCTAACACAGTCGGTCGCTGCCTCCTCTCCTCACGCGACACAGCCTCAGTCCCTCCCCGTGCACACACCTTCTGCCCCGGTCCCACTGGGCCATGCTTCCTCCTGGACAGCTTTGCCCAGAGCACAGGTCCGGATTCCCGGAGCCCTCCGAGCAGGAGGTGACTCAATCCCTGCCTTGTCCCCAGGGCACATGGTCTATGACAGAGGACCCTGTGGCCGATCACTGCTGTCTGGAGCCCAGCACAGAGCCATTTTTTACAGGTGCTGCTCAGTCACCAGCCTGTACAAATGCGGCCCAGAGAAGCCTGGGCCTCTCCGGGGCGTCTCACCGCCGACTCACAGGAGGCTGCTGTCCACTACATCGGTTTTCCTCTCATGTGCTGTGCGTGTCTCTCTTCCCACTCCGGAAATATGTGCGCACTTTTCTGGGCCTGGTGCATCTCTAAAATCAGTCTCACTTCGATCAAACATGGGAGATACTGTGCTGGGAAGCACAGAGCATCTCTAGAAGGACAGAGAAGAGGCAGGCAAGGGAGGCCTAGGTGGGGGGAATGTGCAAGGCTTAAGTTTTTGCAATGTACACCCTTTTATGTTTGAATTATTGAATTGCATGAGTGTACTTTCTGTTTTTTAAAATGACCAAAATAAGTCTATACAGACATCTAGGAGGGTAATTATTTCCTTCCTTCCTTCGTACTTTCTACTTGGTAGATTTTGCCAACATTCTGGCCTTAGCTATTTTAGGAATCTGAGTCTATTTCCATGTTCCTTACTGTTTTCTTTCTTCCCCATCCCAATAGGAGTCATTTTAGAATTTTTTCCCCTATAACTTACCTCAATGCCATTTTCATTTGATATATGGCACATACATCATTTATCATATGTAATTAGTTTTATGCATAAAGAAGTTTTATAAAGCTTACTGTGTAGTCAAAACCTAATTGACATTTTAATTGTAGTTATATTACATGTAAGAACTATTAATAGTTTTATAATTATTTGCTGAAAACTTGTAATTTTACTTATTTTCTTAGATAATATCAAATTTGTATAAAATTTGCAAACTGTTACTATACTAACAGAATGTAATTACATTTAACACTCAAAATTTTTTTCTTCGAAAGTAAAACAATTGGCAGAATTAAATGAATTTATTTGATTGACCCTAACTTTTAACTTTTGCTTCTTATAAGAAAATAACTGAACTCACAACCTGCCATATATGTAAATACTGTTATCAATTTACTTTTTTGTCATAATATGATGAGTTGTCTTGAATAATTACATAATAAGATATACTCTAATTTCATTTTATTTGGGTCCAAGTTAACACAAAGGAACGAAGGATCAAACACAAACACCCACCGGTCAGCAAATAGGCACAAGAATCCCACTGACTGAACCCTGGCAGTCATTAAGGAGAAAGACCTATGTTAACAGGACTGCAGTGTGTTTGCGACTCCTGATTTATAAAGATTTATAAAGAGACTCCTGATTTATAAAGAGCTACACTCCTGGGTGTGCAGCTCGGTGGTAGAGCACTTGCTGAGCACACTCGGCCCGCACCTACACATCTGCCACTTGGTCAGTGCTGGCCTTGCATGTGTGTTGCAGATTTTTGTGAATACTGCACAGTGCTGCACATGTGATACCCAAGGAAACAACCAGTGAAATGACACACCCAGTAAAGATTTTGTCTGGTAGGACGGAGGGGCACAAAACAGTCTTCCAGGCTGAGAACCAATTTTCTCCAGGAATGTGGCCACACCGACAACTCGGTCTATGTTCTGAACGACTTCCCACACACTCCATCACAGGCTTGGTTGACAACGCCTTCTTCCTAAGGCTTGTCAAGCTCAGAGGTTCTGTTTCTAAAGTGATGTGCACGCTCCTCCGAGCACAGAACACTTCACAAAGGAGCAGACACGAGCCTCACACATGAAGCAAGGCACAGACAAAAAGGGAAGAGCAGAAAGTCCCTCAGTGTACCAGGAAAGATCCTGCTCCAGACAAAATGCCAGTTCGGTTCTCTCCACTGGTTCACCCTTGCTCTATGGAGTAGGTGGACGGCCGACTGGGATTACATCAGATTTCAAAACTAGCGAGAGCAAGAAGCCCAGGATGAACAACTTCAGGAAGAACAGTCTGAGCCTCTCAGGCTGAGCAGGGGACACTCACTGTTTCTCAGCGTTCCCTGGACTCTGCACCATGAAAGTCAGGGGTCCCACTGTGCCCCGGGAGTCCCTGCTCACTGCTGGGCCGCAACCCCTGGAGAGGCTCCTGGCGGGAGGCCAACCCTGGTCATCTTCCCACAGGACAGACAGCGAGGGGCACACCGCTCCTCACCCCGG